ATTTTACATTTTCTATGCCTATCAATCAAAATGCTCTAAATTGAAATCAAACATATAAATTATAAAAAAAACAATAAAAATCATAAACCGTATCTTTGCTTTGCATTACAATCTATTGTTAAAATGACTTAAATTCCGCGGCACAAAATAACTTGCCACTGGCCACATATCAACGTAAAGGATATGTGTGACGCTTATAACTTGCCCTTGCGTTATATCAGAAAATACGAAAGATTGGACTGTGAACCAGTAAAAGGTTTGTCAAACAAAATTCACAAATCCTTTATGCGTGTTTGCGATGCACAATTGTTATCAAAATGTAATTGTTCGCCACATATTAAGTCTTTTAATAAACTTTGAATAAATTTTTATCATGCCTGATACTATAAAATCATATTTATTTTAGATTACCTGTAGAAACTTATGACCGTATTGTAGAATATCAATTGAAAGAAGTTAAAATTACTAAAAAGCAACAACGATTTGCTAAGTGAAAATAAAACAAGGTATGTTTGTGATGATGTGTTGGTATGTTAAGGATTTTGAATTTGTTTGTTAGAAATCATGAGACTATAGTCTAATTAGGATACATAGTTGAGTCGTTTAAAAAGTATGGAAATACTGTCAAAATTCGGCTTACTTTTGTTGTAAACTTTTACTGCTCGTCAAATGTATAGTTTCTGAATGTGGAAATTTGCTGTATTTGTGTTGCAATTGTGTTTTGTTTCGGTTTATTCTGATGACGAACTCTGGGAAATGCTTTTTTTTCATTTGCTATTTTAGCGTGTTTGCTTTACCAAATTAGGTCTTTAAAAAGTGGTTTTTGGACGGTTCTGCGCCTATTCAATTTCATAGGATTTGTAGAGTATTTAAACATAGCAAGTTAAAAGTACAATGTAAATCGGTTTATATTTGCTACAGATAAGTATCGCTTGTTACAAGAAATTTACTAATTTTAGTAATGTTGGAATTATCTTTCGTTTCCATTGGTTCTCTTCACAAACTTTGACGCCAAATGTTTTAAGGAGGCTACATACAGTTAAGAAGTAGGGAACTATTGACAATTTGGATGCGCATATTGTGCTCACTGTGCTCAAATTTTCGTGCTCATGTCGAGTGGATTTTTTTTACATAAACGCCTGTCGGCGCTGAGTTTATTGAAGAATTTCTCGTTTTTCTTTCAAAAAAATTTTAAAAATTCGTGTGGATGTTTATTACAACAAAAAATATAACATACGCAAAATTGAACAACTCCCTGAGTTTTAATTAAAAAAGCTATCTCATTTTTTTTACGGAGTTAAAACTCTCATTTGGAGTTTCATCTCTCTATCTCTGACTACACATTCTCCATTAACTTCTACAGTTTGGTGTCTCATTCTTTCAAGCCTTAAGACTTGCACTTGTCTAAATTCTGTTCAAATTTCTATTTCCTGTAACTTGTGTCAAATTGGACATTATGTTCAAATGATATTTGTATTTTTCTTATTATTGTTTGTATTGCGCAAATAGAGAGTTTTAGTTTAGCGTTTCTGGCAAACGGCAATCCGAAATTATCCATTTGCCATTGAGGTTTGTTGCTTCGAAAAAACCGAATTTAATAAGTACTTTTGCATTTGTATCTTAAAATTTGCATTGTCAGGAGCTGTTATTCCTGTTTTATAAAAACTCTCTTGATAGCTTAAGAGGCATATTCATGATTTATACTCACTTAAAATAACTACATTGCGTCACAAAAGTCACTTTGCTGTAATAGAAATACACTAAAATGCTTGCGGTACTTTAAAACCTGAACTGCTAACCGCAACGTAAACGGCAAAGACGTCATCACACCTCGAAGAAAATTTGAGTTCTTATGATTTTTAAATTTTTGCAGCCAAAATAAGTCGCTATCCAATCAGTTTTTTTTCGTGGTTTTTGATTTTTTTCATACACGTTTGTCTGCCGTACTCAGTTTTTAAAATGGTGGACGTTAAGATGTTTTTTGCTTGAGAAATGATCGAATTTCCATATCATCTTACAAATATACTTTACAGAAAACCAAGTTTGAGAAAGCAATTTCTTGGACAAAATACAAAACAAACGATACTCATAAAAGCATATTATATGTTGTAAATACAAAGCTCTCTCACGAGCAGATGAATTCTTCTTTTCATTACCGTTACAAATTAAACGACGTACAAAAAACCATTGTTGTGTTGGCTTCGTCGTTCTGGTCGTCTTTGCAGCCAGGGGTGGACCTAGGATTTTTCAAACATCAGTCATAAAACGTCGAAGGCGCTCCGCACCTGGGGGGTTCTGAGGCATTCTCCCTTGAGAAATTTTGAATTTCAGAGCCTTGAAAATGCCAATTTCAGCGTTTTAGAGCAATACAAAATGTATTTTGTGGGCATCATTTTTGCTTAAAATCAACACATTTTGCTTACGTTTTTTCAAAAAAAAATAAATGAAGTGAACAGTACTTGAATATTTTGCCAAATATTTAGGCTCATTATCATGCCAAATATATGGCTCATTAGCATGTCTAGGAACTAAAAATTTATTTTAGAATAATGCTATTCAAAAACAAATATAGTCTTTAAAATAACTACCAAGTTGTCAGGCATAGACCCCCTAGAGGCCCCCATTCAAAAATCTATGTAATGGGTTAAGTTAGAAATTTGGTACTACAAGTGACAGTTCATAGATATAGAAAAGCTCAGACTTCAAACCATGCAAGTTTATTGTAACCCTTTACCCATCTCCACATCAGTGCCAGCAAATTCACTTTTTGAGAAAAATCTCAAAATTTTTTTCTGCCAAAGATTAAGCAAAAATTTTCAGAGTGAAAATTTGCAGTTAAGGACAGCTTAATGCCATAAATGTTTATTAGACATTTCACTAGACTATTATCTTCTGTAAGTTTATGCAAAGTTTTCTATGCAGAAATTACCAGTAGCATTGTATTTGCCAATATAAACAGAATAAAGTCAACATGCCTTTAATTATATAGGTACATGAATGTTAAAATTGGTTCATGTGTCATGCTTACTGGTTATGATAAATATCTTTTCTTATGATCAAAGCTCGTTTAAATGTGCTGAAGAGTGCCAGAGCACTCACTTAAGCGTTAAGCAATTTGTGCAATGGGGCTTTTTCCAGAACGAAACATTTTTTTAATTTTTGGATATAATTCTTAAATGGAAATGAACTACATGCATCCAAACACCCAAACTGTTCCACCTCATCAGCCAAATGAATCATACTGTGTACGTTATACACTACAAATTTATCACCATACAAGAACATACTTTGCTACATGAAGTAATGCATTAATTGCTTAGCGTAATTTTAATGGAGCTGAGCAAATAAAGGACTAACCAGAATGGAACTTGCAACACTTAAGACTAAGATATTTTCATATTAATCAGGCCTTAGAATACCCTTCAAAGCAATTTTCCCTGTATACAAAAGAAACTGTGTGAATTTTCTAGCTTTCCATCTGTCGACCTCCATTAAACTCCTAGGTTTTCGCACAAATGTAGAGGGGATAAATGGTTTAAGCTCCACCAATTTTTTACGAACAGCCTCTACATGGGCAACAGGCATTTTAACAGCGTGATTTTCCCTCATCGAAACCATAATCATTTTACGCATAACACCCAGATACAGTTGATGCATGTAGTCAAATGGCAATTGTTTTGCCATATCAACAGGCAAGTGACAGAAAGGGCTAACAAAGCGATGATTTTCTTCTTGTATCTGCTTTTTAAAAGAAATATTAATGTGCAATTCTATATTATTATTTTGAGAGTAAGTCACTTGACAATTCCCTTTTTGTGTACACTTGTCACAACCAAAATAACCAGTACAAAGTTTTGTACCTTTAACAAATGCTATTACAGGAGCATCACAAACGATGCCCTTTACTATAACAGTCAGAACCTTTTCCCCATCTTGGACTCCCCTTTCTAGAATACACTAGTAAATCTGCAAGCTAGCTACGATACTGAACGCCAATGCTGGCGTCTTGTTTTGAATTCAAAGTAATGTGACGATTTAATACTTTTTTTAAGCATACTAATGGAAAAGTGTCTTGAATACATACCATGGAACAGTTTTAACTGGTTTGGAAGAATAATACTCATTGTCTTTTTTTTCATTGGCTTTATCGTTTCTGGCATTGCAATAAATTTATATGGTGATACTTCATTTGATTGTCATAATGAGATTATATCAAAGACGAAAGAAAGTTCTCTTTTAAAGAACATTGAATCAAAATGTTTCAGACAATACAAAGATCGTTTGACTTTTAAGTATGCTGCTTTTCTTATGGTAGTTTTTAATTTTGGCATTGTCTTAATTTGGACTATAGTATATGGATATTGTGTAAAGCGTAGAGTTGAACATAATGATGATGACAGTCCAATAAAAAACAGTGACGAACAAAGTGAACCTCTATTTGGGGAAGATAGCGAAGGAACTTATCTATCTAATAACGTTGCATTTAATTTTTCTTCATTTTACATTTACATCGTTTATTTGGTGGTTCGCTTCATTATATTGTCTGTCTTTGTTGGATTATTTTTCTCTGCTAAGTTTCCCGTCGAATACACCTGTGAAAGACGTCCAACTATGAAAGAAATTTCCTTGTTAAATCACACTATTTCTACCATTGATTGTGAAAATCCCAACGGTGATAAAAATGAAACCTTAATTATAGTTGTTTCATCTGTCAATTTAATTTTAATAACACTAACAGTTTTAGAGGTGTGTTACTTGACGTATAAGGCTTGGAATGATAAATCTTTTATAAAAGAGGATAAATTTTGTACAGTTTACTTAGAAAATAAATACAAATATGCAAAATTCTTGGAAGAAAATAAAGGCGAATGTACACAATCGTTGGAAGGAAATAAAAGCGAATGTACACAATCATTGGAAGAAAATAAAGGCAAATGTGCAAAGTCGTTGGAAGAAAATAAAGGCGAATGTGCAAAATCATTGGAAGAAAATAAAGCCGAATGTACAAAATCTTCCAAGAAAATAAAGGCGAATGTGCAAAATCATTGGAAGAAACTAAAGGCGAATGTGCAAAATCGTTGGAAGGAACTAAAAGCGAATGTGCAAAATCGTTTGAAGAAAATAAAGGCAAATGCACAAAATCGTTAAAAGATAATAGAGCTAAATGTACAAAATCGTTTGAAGAAAATAAAGGCGAATGTACAAAATCGTTAGAAGAAAATAAAGCCGAATGTACAAAATCTTTCCAAGAAAATAAAGGAATGTGCAAAATCGTTGAAGAAACTAAAGGCGAATGTGCAAAATCGTTGGAAGGAACTAAAGCGAATGTGCAAAATCGTTTGAAGAAAATAAAGGCAAATGCACAAAATCGTTAAAAGATAATAGAGCTAAATGTACAAAATCTTTGGAAGAAAATAAAGGCAACAAAATCAAGTTGCAAGAAACTAAAGGAATGTGCAAAATCGTTGGAAGAAAAGCGAATGTACAAAATCGTTGGAAGAAAATAAAGGCGAATGTACAAAATCGTTAGAAGAAAATAAAGCCGAATGTACAAAATCTTTCCAAGAAAATAAAGGCGAATGTGCAAAATCGTTGGAAGAAACTAAAGGCGAATGTGCAAAATCGTTGGAAGGAACTAAAAGCGAATGTGCAAAATCGTTTGAAGAAAATAAAGGCAAATGCACAAAATCGTTAAAAGATAATAGAGCTAAATGTACAAAATCTTTGGAAGAAAATAAAGGCAAATGTGCAAAATCGTTGCAAGAAACTAAAGGCGAATGTGCAAAATCGTTGGAAGAAAAGAAAAGCGAATGTACAAAATCGTTGGAAGAAAATAAAGGCGAATGATCAAAACCTTTCGAAGGGAATAAAGGCGAATGTACAAAATCTTTGGATGAAAATAAAGGCGAATGCACAAAATCGTTGGAAGGAAATAAAGGCGAACGTACAAAATCGCTGGAAGAAAATAAGGACGAATGTACAAAATCGTTGGAAGAAAATAAAGGCGAGCGTACAAAATCGTTGGATAAAACTAAAGGCGAATGTACAAAATCGCTGGAAGAAAATAAGGACGAATAGACAAAATCGTTGGAAGAAAATAAAGGCGAACGTACAAAATCGTTGGAAGAAAATAAAGACAAAAGTACAAAATCGTTGGAAGAAAATAAAAACGACATTTACTCTAACAGTGTGTTTCAAATATACGACAACTTCGGTGGTGAGATGACAGAGTGGCGAAATCTTGCTAATATTTATGTCAACGTCATACTACAAGCAGAGAGACAATTAAAGAATGCTTACCCAGAAACCTTTAATCGGCATGAAATCTTAACATAAATCATAACTAATACATTTACATCGCTTATTTGGTGGTTCGCATCATCATATTGTCTGTCTTTGTTGGATTACTTTTCTCTGCCAAGTTTCCAATCGAATACACCTGTAAAAGACGTCCAACTATGAAAGAAATTTCCTTGTTAAATCACACCATTTCTAACATTGATTGTGAAAATCCTAACGGCGATAAAAGTGAAACCTTAATTAAAGCTATTTTATATGTCGACTTCATTGTAATAACACTAACAATTTTAGAGCTGTGTTACTTGACGTATAAGACTTGGAATGATAAGTATTTTAAAAAAGAGGATAAATTTTGTACAGTTTACTTGAATTTTGTACTGCTTCAAAAACCTAAAAAATTTTTTGAAGAAAATAAGAGCAAAAGTGCAAAATGGTTGGAGGAAAATAAAAACAATCTTTATTCCAAAAGTGTGTTTCTAATGCACGACAACTTTGGTGATGAGATCAAAGAGTGGCGAAATTTTGATAATATTTATGTCAACGTCATACTACAAGCAGAGAGACAATTAAAGAATGCTTACCCAGAAACCTTTAATCGGCATGAAATCTTTCATTCTTACCTTGAAATGAGAAATGATGCAAAAAAACTGACAAGAGTAACCGAGATTTTTAAGCCAATCCTAGGTGAACAGAGCACGTCGTATCCAAGATCTATTTTAGTCATTGGAAGGCCGGGTATTGGTAAAACTATGCTGACTAAAAAACTTATATACGAATGGATAAATAATCAAGACGAATTTTGGCAAGGTAAACTTGTTATTTTAGTGAAATGTCGTAACCTTGAAACTTACAACAATACTCTCAAAAAAATGTTATATCGGTGTGATGGACTAAAAGATAAACATTATTCTCAAGTTTACAAATTCATAATCACATATCCAAAACAAACTGTCATTATCATCGACGGACTTGATGAACTATTTTTAAATCGTTCAGTCACAAAGAAGTCTGTATTTGAACTAATTGAAAAGTTAGTAGAAGGTAGAACGCTGTCTGATGCCATTGTTCTAGTAACATCACGACCCACAGCTAAACATGCATATGGGGATTTAAAGTTTGACAGGACCGTGGAAATCTTGGGCTTTTTCGAAGATCAGATTAAAGAATACGTCGACAAGTTTTGTGGTAAAGACAAGAATACAGCCAAAAACATTTATGAGCACATTGATACTTCCCTTGAACTTAAAAGTTTGTGTTATATTCCTGTGAATAGTTACATTGTTTGTCTGACCCTAAAAGAGAGCTTGACATGTAAGGCTGAAGATATTCCAAAGACCCTCACTGAGTTGTTTAACAGAGCAATCAAAGTCTTGCTATGGAAGCACCATCCACTTTGCAAATCAGGTAAATTACCACGAACAAATGATTATCTCAGAATTCCTTTGCCGCCAGACCTTAAAAAAGTTTTTGACAAAATAAAAGACATTGCAGTTCGTGGAATTACCGAAGGAAGTTTGATATTTGAAAAAAGAAGTAATAGTGCTTTTTATGAGGCAGAAAATTGTGGTATATTTCACCGAATACCAGATGCATCACGCTTACAGTACTGTTTCCTACATTTGACCATTCAAGAATTTTTGGCTTCGCGATGTATTGTAGATGAATGGGGCAAAATTGCACAGTTTTTGGATGATAATAAAGCTGATCCTAAATGGCATTTGGTGATACAGTTTGTTGCTGGTTTAGTTGGAGACACGAAAAGATCTTGCAGCATCAGGGATACTAAAACAGTAGAAGATGTTGAACAACGGTAAGGTCTTTATTTTCGTTTCTAGTGTAGTTTAGGTTATTGTCTTCGATGAAATTTGTTTACACAGTTTTAGTCCTGCTGGACAGCAAGCGCAGGAACACTAACTACGTTTACTGCATATGCACAGAGTTGTTGCTTGACTGTTATAACAAATTGCAGCAGTTTTATATAAAACTGGCATATATTTATACATGGCATAACTTCGTGCTCTTTTGCAGAGTGTTGTTTCAGTTATGAAAATGTCGCTGAGTTGCATAAGCGTCTGTCTGTTTCAAAACAAAGTTTCTGCCTTTTTTTTACTAAATTTTCACTTTGAATCTAACGCTGTTATCGTTGACGCCGCAATCTAAAGAAAGTATAAGGGCTAAGGCCTTTTTCTTACTTTATAGCGTGGGGAGCATTCGCGATACAAAACTTAAAATTGTTTATTTAAATTTGTTGAGCATTTTTATAAATACCATGATTTAAAATTCATAACAACAATAAAAATGGCATTAATAGTAATATAAAGGGAAGTACAGTTATATTTTGGGGACATATACATATGCAATTCATTCTCAAAGCATTTTTGCAAAGGAGCGATGAATTTTCTGAACACTACATACAGCAAATTATTTTTTCATTGTCTAAACAAAGATCAATACAAACTGGGGAGAACTAAAATTAGAGCAAAATCGTAAAGCTAGTTTATGATATTTGCCAGTTAATGTAAAGAAGTAAATTAATAATTTTTACATTTTAACCAAATCATATAAGTGTGGAGCTTTGATTTTGTCTAAATGGGTCGGAAATGCACGGAACTCTTGCTATTGTATTTACAAAATACATTGGCAAAGCAATTTTTTAAAAAAACGAGATATTTTTTCATACTAGCTACATACAACAATTCATCACACCTTCATAGAAACAATAATCAACACTAGCTGCACGAGAAGAACTAAAATGAAAACAATTGCTAAAAACTATTTTGAAATATGCTGTAGCTATTGCCACAATGTTAATTACGAATTCTCGTCTGTTTTCCAAACAGTACCCAAGCTATATGTACAAAAAATATTGCCAAAACATCTTTTAAAGTTTTTTAAATTTGCGCGCGTAGCAAGATGGTTTGCAATTTTGGTTTGAATTATAATTTACACTTTGATTAGCTAGTTTAATTTGTGCAGCCAAAGATCACATACTTTAATAAATAAGAAATTGATTTTAGGCCTTCCAACATGACGGACATTCTCACAAACTCTTCCCATCAGTTGATTTTTCTTAAAGTTATTGCACATATATAGTCTTTCAGTTTTTCTGTTAGAAAAAGCTTTTCTCTACCATGAGCGAAACTAGAACGTTAAGTTGGGGGAGGGGGTGTATATTCATATATTCATAACTGCTTGACTGATTTGTTTTGTTAGCGAAAATAATTTAGCAGGGCAGAGCTAAATATATGAATATTTACCCCCCTACAACGTTCTAGATTTGCCCCTGCTTTCCATGGCTCAGTTTCAGGAACATCAATGGTTGGTCAGTGTAAAAATCTAAAAATTTCAACTAGAGCATATAATAGAGAATACATAGGAGAGCAAATCTCGTTGGTAACCTTTGATGTAAGCGTGTTGCGCAGTTTTCTTTGCGCATACCGGAAATTTAATGTCCGCCATTACTCTGGCCAGTAAAGCGTAGAATGTTTATTTCGAAAATATACGAAGTGGAAGATGTAAAGTGGGTTAAAATGTAGAATTTGAGACTTATTGGCTTTGTTTTGCATTTTGATTATAAGCTATTGCACAATTGCGATAGCTTAAGCAATGGCGTAATAAATACTCATTCTTACTAACAGTTTTTTAGCATTTTCGGAAGCTACGGAGTACTGGTATTAGTGCTATATGGACTTCATGGTGCCAAAAATAATTTCACCGACACCTGCGCTCTTTGTGTGGATTGGGAATTTCTCATTAAATACGATTGGGAATTTGTCGTTGAATCTCTTTAAGTTTTATAATGTACTGCAGACAAGTAGAAGATACGGAATGGTTGATTTGCTTTTTTCAGATGCTTTGAAGTGTCAGAATAACAGCTTGTTAACATCTATTTCAGTCCTATGAAAGAGCATTAGTGCATTTAAACTAATTCGGAGTTTCAAACACTTCACGAGAAGAAAATCTGACGCATAATGTCTATCATATTAGCTCCAGCTGTTTAGCCTCTGGTAGTCAGTAAGGACGACTTGCTAAGGATTGCGGCTGTAGAGATGGAGTAACTTGGACCGCTTTCTTTTGGTTCACCTTTTTTGCAGTATTTTTAGAATATTCAGCCAGCATGAAGTCTACGTCAATGACATAGTTTCCAGATGAAAAGGTAAAGCATCTGCAATTATGGCATTAGTGATTAGAAAAGGTTTTCATAATTGAATAACGTATAGAAACTTATTCTATCATGGCATTTCTGAGTTGTAAAAATTTATTGAAAAAACAAAACTTTTACTTTACTATATTCATTTTACACTGATATCACGTCAAAAAACCAATCTTCGCCCTTGATGATTAATACTATGTATAAAAAGCTTTAACAATCACCAAACTGTTTAAATTTAAAATGTGTGTATATTATGCGGTAGAATGTACAGAATATAGAATATATAAAACCAGTCTATACATTTCATTTAAAAATTAAATAACTTCAGTGTTAAAAACTCCTTGCACTGTTAGTCTTTGGATGAAACAATACCTAGTACAAGTCACTTGCAACACAATCCTCACTTTAGAATAAAGCAAGCACTTGGGACATCTTAAAATAAAGTTTTTGATCTCCTTCGTCATACCAGGCCAACACACACTTTTTCGGGCACGTCTTAAACATCTCTGCACACCGATATGACTTGCATGAATTCTTGCCATTAGATATGATCTTGCCCAAAATAAAATGACCAATCTGTCATCTTTGAATATCAGACCATTTTGAATGGACAATTCGTCACGAA